AACCGTTAATCATACTCTCGGTTCTCAGCTTACCAAAGCAGCTCAGCCTGGGAACTCTAGGAATCGACGTATCGGTCTTTCCGCCAAGATGAGTTCCGCGCTCCTCATTATGATTCATTGATGTCTTTGTTGGTGGTCGACGCTTTAACTGGTTATGTTACCTATGCTATTGTTCCCGACAACGCTCCTACCCATTTAACCCTTATTGCTTTAGAGGGTATTTTCCTAGCTCGTGGTTACCCTCTGGGTTTGCTCTCCGATTCAGACGCTCGCTTTACAAGTACTGCTGCAGTGGCATGGAGCAAGGCCCTTGGCATTAGGTGGGCACGGAGCCCGGGACACGCTAGTCGATTAAAAGGCTGGCATGAATCCCGCCACAGATTGGTGAATTTCATGTTAAGATGTCTCATCCAGCAGACTGGCAATAAGATTCACTGGACAATCTTGATGGCTAGGGTATGCTATATTGTGAATAATATTGTTCGCTCTTCTCCATCCTCCAGCTCCTTCAGTAGCGACCTGCATTTCGTCCACGGTCGTTGTCTACCCCCAGCTATATCTACCAGTCGGGTCCTATCGAAGCAGGCTAATGATAGCTTGGATCATTTCATTCCTCTCCGAATGCCTGATCGAGCTGATGCTGATAAGTTGCTACACGATGTCAGTTTGAGAATTTCCTCTGATTGTAAATGGGCTCAGGTTTCCGCCGAAAATGTGGACTCAACTCTTCGTGCTCGATCTACCTTTGCTGATACTTCTGCTGCCCGTTCCGACTTCTCTGTCTTATCTGTAGGGGACCATGTTCTCCGATACAACTTTGGTAGATCTAAGCTCAGCCAGAAATGGCTTGTTGACCAAGTCTACGTGGTCCGTGCTATCAAAGGAGCTGTAGCTGCTATTTCTCCTATTAACTCTCCTTCTCTGTCCTATGAATATATTGGTAACTTGAAGATAGTCACTTCTGCGGCGGGGGAGTGTTGATAAGCATTCATAGTTGACTTGATATCTTGCTCTCTTGCTCTTCTTTGTATAATCTATAGCTGACACCTTAACAGACTTTATAGCTGTACAACAGTTATTTGAGCTGTATATACCCTATCGTCAGCAGCTCATCTGAATCTTGCGTTCTCCTAGTCCTTCAAGAGAGCATCTGCATTGCAACAGGGTGATAGCCAACCGGTGTGGCCGTCAAGCGTTCTTCCGCAGATGTCTTCCACATGGGTTCTATCCACCACGAGTGCCCTATTTAGTATTTTTAAGATTCCACTTTGAGGGGCCGATTGAAACTTGCCCTATACATTGTGCTGCACATGGTATAGTCGCCATGTTCATCACAGTTCGATACATTCCGACGAAGTTCTTCTGGGAAATCTTGGCTATCCGCAATCTGTTGCAATATATCAACAAGGAGATATTCATTGGCTATCGTCACTTATATTCTCAACCGTAGTTATTCAGAATCATCATACTTTTATTAGGCATTTTGTGTACAGTATATCTAGGAGTTTCCTAAGGTGTTGCGGCGCAGGCACTGTTATCTTAGAACGGTTGATAGCTACACTCTAATCTGTCCCAGTTAGGGTTTGCATCATGAGCGTAGTAGCTAAGTAGACAGTCGATTGGCAGTTTGTTACTGATCGCAGGGATGTCCAATGTGCGAATTGTCTCTTCTTTGTGTTCCACCACAAGGTGACCCAGGGACAGGAATTGTGCAAAATCCCAACATCATAGCGCTTGCAGTCAACTTGTTTGATTCCTTTTGAGTATGAGGGCTCGTCGCGCTTCGAGTAACGTGTCTTCGGCTAATACCGGCAAGCTTGATACCTTGGAGCAGCCCATCATAGGTGAACCTTCGGATGTGGAGGACGGTGGCAGCTCTAGTTTGAAGCCTCTCGAGAATAAAGGGGAAAACAGGACTTGGTGGAGTCGCTTGTGGCAAGGCGGTTGGAAGGTCCCTGTCGGTCCAGATGGATACAAGCCTTTTTGGTATGAGGCCACTCTGTGTTGTACATTTACTTTTTTCCTGGCGTTCAAGCCGTCAGAGCCCCACCTGACGACCTACCTCAGGGAGACCAAGGGCTTTACAGATGATCAGATCAACTCACAGATTTACCCTTGGTCCACTTACGCATGCATACCCTTCCTGTTGATTGGTGGACTCCTTTCCGAGTTCATCGGCTACAAGTTTATGCTCATTCTGGGAGCGATGGGGCGTTTAACCACGAGAATACTCTTGCTGTTTGGTACCACTGTATTCGAAATGCAAATTATGCAGTGTACATACGCTTTTGGTACTGCGGCTGAGAAGATCTTCTATGGTTATCTATTCCACATCGTTCCTAGTGAGAAGTATCAGAAACTGACATCCATAAATCTGGCTGCATACGTTCTATCGCATATGTTGTCTGGGATAATAGGTGATGTCATGCTCAATGCTGGGCACATGAGCTACACATCCCTTCAGTGGTTCTCAGCCGTCTCTGTTCTCGTTGCTACTGTAACTACTTTCTTTCTAACAAGTGTCAACCGCGACAAGGCTCCTAGGCCTAAGGAAGTGTGGAAGACTATGAAGTGGGCTTATGAGGATAAGGTTTATGTTCTTATTCTGTTCTGGTGGATATTCGGCAATTGCGCCTACGGTCTTATCGACGGCTATGAAATGTCCCTTTACGATATGATGATGGTGGAAGAGGGTACCGAGGAGAACTATAACGGAACAGTGTATGCTATTGCGCAGCTTATTGCTACCATTAGTGCCTTGTCTGTAGCGGTGCCTTGGATATTCAAAATTGCATACACTCACCAGCATCTGACTGTGGGCAGTCTAGGCCTCTGGTGTATTCTGGCCCTAACACTGATGGTTTGGTATCCTCGTATCCTCCCGATGTGTATTGGTTTCATCCTATACTACCTTGGTTATCATTTTATCAACGCCTTCGTCAGCGCGGAGACGGGTCGTGTCGTTAACAAGCATATGAAAGAGGAAGATAATGTCAACTCTGGCTGTTATGCTATCATAGTCATGTTCAACAATCTTACTGCATACATCCTGTCAACTATCCTTTCCCTCATCATGTTTACTTGGTTCCAAATCGATCTTCGCACTGTCTATAAGATACTGTGGACTTTTCAGCTGTCGTTCCAGACAGTGTTCATGAGTCTGGCCGTACTGCTATTTTTCCTTTCCAAGAGACTTCTACACCCGGTGATGTGAAAGGCAACAAGTAGTGAGGCCCCCAGAGTTTGTATTCTCTACATAATACATACGACTTATTCTACAACATTGAGTATTGTATAATCTTTTCTGTCTATCACCACAAGAACTAAGTTCGCACGGGTGCTGAGACCAACCTCATTCGAGGATCTCGGCTGAGATATCACCGTCGGAACCTGATCAGGGTAATACCTGCGAAGGGAGCGAACTAAAGATGCTAACCGGTGTTGGGGAACTGCGTATTCTGTATGTCCGACCACATCCGGAGCATCTGAGCAGTGCTCAGTGAGCATTTCATGCCTTAGCTACGGTATTCTATTAGTATACCGTGTGCCTCGGTCTCTATGTTAGCCGTTTCCTCGGAATGCGGTGGCTAGAGGTGGGCCCTCTGGATGAGAGGAGCTTCGGTTGTCTGCTCTAATTCGACGCTTGTGATAACTCGGTCGAGACGTTGCAGCATCTCAGCTACCCAGTGTTAATCAGGGGGGGGGGGGCGGTTAAGTACTTGGGCATCCGATGTGCGAGACATTAGCGTTCGGCATCAAGGGCATGTTTCAAAAGTTTCTCAATAGGAGACTCAAAATTTTTGGAAGCGAAAATCCTGAATCGCCACACAACTCGCTCCGATCACGGATTAGCGTAGTTTCTAAAAATCCAGCTCGTGTCGGATATTTGGAATGAGTTGAGTTGCACTTCGGGGTATTCTCCCTTTGTGACGCCTCCGAAACGTTTTTCAGGCACGCTCGATTCTCAGCGCGGCATTTTTGATTTGTCTTCCAACTTCGGTTTTTATGAGAGGCTCTTGAGGGTTAGAAAGTTCTTGTATAGGTAGCCAACGGCTTTGAAACGAGCCGCCCTTTTTGCATCACTTTTAACAAGAGTTTTCCATACGTTTCTAGTAGGCTTTCGAAATAGGCTTTACCTGGACAACCTGCCTAATATCAATGCGGGTCAAGTTTTGCATGCCACTTCGTGTGCTTGCGATATCGGCTTTACTGAGGCACACCTTACGGCGGTATAGTTGCTCTTGCCAGCTAGTAAGCCATGTCTTAGGATGGCATAGATGCCCCGCAAGGTTACTAAGGCATGTCTTAGGATGGCATAGGTGCCCCGCAAGGTTACTAAGACATGTCTTAGGATGGCATAGTTGCCCCGCAAGGTTACTGAGACATGTCTTAGGATGGCATAGTTGGCCCGCCCAGTTGGTCAGGCATAGGATGGCATAGTTGCCCCGCAAGGTTATTGAGACATGTCTTAGGATGTCAT